CTTCTTCAACAGCTCATATCATAACAAATAGTTTTCGATTTTAATTTTACAATGCATATTGTAGTCAGTTTTTAGAATATGGACCAGGATGTACTAAATATTTTGCTTTTATCAATGTACATGTAGTTAAAAACAGTTCATTTCCAGAGAGTGGGGCATTAACGAGAGCTACAACAAAAATGAAATCTGATCTGCGTCTAACAAGTTCTCCCGTACCCAGGGGTGAAAAAGGTCAAAAGGGAGTTGTCAGTGTACCAGCAGGGGTACTAAAGCCACAAGACAGGGTATAACGCTATGCAACTTTGATAGTAGGATTCTAATGATTTATAGAATAATTTTAATTGCCACCTAATTTACGGAATCTCATCTCTGAAACCTGGAAAACATAGTCATGTGAGCATTGGTACTTAAAAAGGTACGTAAATAATGTATTGAAACGTAATTTATTTACAGATTATATACTCGTGCTTTATAAATTGTTGAGGGATCATGATTACCTCCAGTATCATTTCAGAAAATAACGGTGATGAAACCACTAGACTCTCTATAAATGTTTTATTTCTTTTGCAGCCCACTGAGTCCTGCTTTTTTGGCAACAGGAATCCACCACCATCGGAAGACGAAAATTTGGAGGTGATAAAAAATGATGATTAAATATATTTCAATAATTCTGCATTTTGAATATTATATCGCTCATAAGCTCAATGCATTCGTATTGAAAACGAATTTGTTTTATATACCTGCGTAAGCGATAGTTCCAGCGAAAGGAAAAACCAAAGTAGCAGACAAGGGAAAAGTAGCAGCATCCAAGAAAGGGACTGCAGCTGCAGCAAAGAAACCAGTAAAGAAAGGTGTTGGAAGAAAGGGAGGCAGAAAGAAAAAAAGTGTAAATGAAAATGACGTTGACAAGGGAAAAACAACAAACGAACCTCAACCTATAGAAAGAGCCAAGACAATGCCAGAAATGGAGAAAACGACACTGAGCTTGCAGGACGCTGAACAAGTAAAAGTTGCAGTTAATATTCCTACGAATTAAACTTACTTACAATTAAAAGATACCATAATTAATAGCCAACCACAACTAGAAAAATCTAAAACTGATGCCGGGTTAACAAGACCCCCGTCATCAAGACCAGCTTCTTCTTTGAAACAAAGAAATAACAAAAAAGATAAGAAGAGTAACAAAAAGCAGAAAAGGGTAAAGATGGAAGCAAATAGTATAAAAAGAGCGGGAAGAAGAAAAAGAAGTGATGAATGAACATATATATTTTATTGATATATAAATAACAAGGCAGTAGTTATGTCCATTAACATGGTATTTTATCTTAAGTTAATGTATCACACCATGAGTCTTATTTATTTCCGAACTAATTGTTTGGTAAGCAGGGGCTTAGTTAATTAAAGTGCTTTAAAAACGAATTCTGATGAATGCTATTTGCTTCGACAGTTCTTTTAGCGCATTAATCATTATTTGTATATATTTCCATTGTTTTATTTATATATCATCGCATTTCTTTTTCATTTTAACATGTATATTTTTAATTAGCTATAATAAAGTGCATTTTTATAGAGCCTCAGAATACGTCAACATTGTAATAGAAATGATTATATCCGAACATTTTGCCATGTACTTATGACTTTTTTTTCGAATAAAAGAAATAAATAAGAATTTTACAGTTGTACATGCTAAATTGTTTTTTCAGCTTAGTTGTCACATGAGACAAAAACAATAAACGGATCATGTGTGTGTGTGTATACACTTATGTGCCTTATTTTAAATGGCTTTTACATCAAATTAACTCTTTTCCAGTTCTGTTTAGATATTATCATATATTAAAAACTGTTCTGATGAAAAAAATAAAACTGCTTCAAATGATTGCGATTTATTTCACTTTATCAGCATACATTGTTTCATAACACAGGATATCTTACAATAAGAAACTACTCAATAATTTTACAATAAAGTCATTTCATGCAAAGGATTCATCGTGGGTGTTTCCGGATTCATTTCTTTCATTTTTTCTAGGGCTCTCGACAACAACAGACAAACATGAGTTCGAAATGTCAGGTGTGCCTGTCATGGTGGATTATCCCATTTCGGATTTTTTCCTCGAAGCCGCAAGTGTTTGCTAGCGTTGCATCTTCAAACGGATGGTCGTCATTGGTCGACGAGGGGGGAGAGGCCCGTGCCTTTCCCAGTAATCGGTGCGTTTCAGGAGATACCCTCGTCCGCGCTCAGCAAGACCTTGAGAGTGTAAAAACCCGTGCGATTGTGGATCTGTAAAATATTACCATAAAATGTGTCAATGGGATTTGATAAAAAGATATCAAAGATATAGATAATGTTAATCATTAGTTTATATATAAGTTAATATCGCCCTTTAAAATACTGTACCATTTAAGTGCTCACTTGATTCAACATCACCCGGTCTTCGAACAATAGTAAACAAGGTTGCTTTTTGTTGCTTAAAAAATCCATCAAAAACTTGAAGGCAAATAATTTTGAACAATTACATTGAATAATAGTACCATTCTTTTATCATTTAAATTTTTAACTAATGAAATTCTATTGAACAATTTGTTGATGAAACGATGTTCATTATCTTAATCTTAAATGACATTGCGTCTTTAAAAATATATTACTTCATAGCTACAAACGAACAATTTTGAAAAACTGTTTTACGGTCATAATTGACTATAAGAAATTTGCGAGTGCATAAGTTAGAAAAAAAGCCCTAAACCGACTAAAATAAAAATCGATTATTTAAATTACAGTACGTTCCCGATCCTACCTGTTCTTTACTTGACATTGACACGCTATAATTGCGCTTTCCACAATAGAAAATATATTATATAAAGAGAATTATCATTATTGTGGTTTATAACTACCATGTCGACGGAATACCTTTGTGAAAACAGTATGGCCACCTTTATTTATTATGATTAAAATTACATATTGTCATTTATGATACCGCAAAAGACACAAAAGACAAGAAAATGAGAGACTTATTCATTGTGTTTCTGTTTATTTTAAAAGGTAACTTACTTTTTACTATTTTTTTATTTCACTTTCTTGTGTCAATACGTTCCTGTAAATTGTTACTCCGATGAAAAACAGAAATTATTTTCATGTAATGATTATTTGTTTATAATTATGTATTTGAATTCAAAAATAAATGACTGGCAATAGTGTTGAAATATATTTACATTATCCCATTTGTGATTTTTTTCCGAATCAATAAAAATATTCTATTAGCAAATCAGAAATATTCATTATGAGAATACCAATATAAACTTCACCACGAGATTGATTTAACCCATTACTTCATATAGACGTCTTTTCATTCCTTTTCATCCCCCTTTTGATACGTCAAAAACGAAACAAAATGCCCTATTTAGACACCAAACACTTGTTTTTGTTTGAGAAATGTTGTTAAAAAAGCGATTACGTATCAAATAGATAAATCAAGGGGGTATGAGAGGGGGATGTGCAACCAATGCAGAAAAGCCTTTGACTCTATCTCAATACATTGAGAAGTTACAACACTTTGAAATCAGTTTGGATGGAAACAATCAAAGCAGGATAGTGATTTTTGGCAATTTTGAGATGACCCTCGTTGCCATGGTTACAGGAAATTTAAGATTGAGTATGCCGTTACAATTGCTATGGTCCAGCCAACATTTGTGCCCAGTTTGTACAGTATTGAAACATTGTTTTATAGTTCCATATCAATTTGAACTCGTATCAAGAGACTTTTCAATGAAAACAGCTATTTTTCGCAAAATACTCATGCAGTAAAACAAATGTGTTTGATGAATAAATAAATAAAAAAGATAATTTAGTCATGATGCTTAATGTTGTGTGTTGCTTGTAAAAGGGTAAAATGTTTAGTTTGAGCATCAGATTAAAAGTGTGTTGTGTTTCACTATTTAATGATTATTTTGTTTTGAAGCTGCAGTCACTAAAACTAGTTTGTTTGTTTGGGTTTTATGTTACACCGACACAGTGTAAGTAACATGGCGACGTTCCAGCTTTACCTAAGATGCTCTTTAGTGCATTATTTCAGGGACGAACTGGCACTTGAGTAGAACCACCGACGTTCCCTCAGCTAGCTGGATGGCTTCCTCATATGCAAGTATTCAAAGGCCCTGACGGGATTCGATCCCACAGCGATGAGGGGCAAGTGGTTTTGAGTCAACAACTTTAACCAGTCGGCCATGGACGTCCCCTTAAATAGTTAACAGAGATATGATGTTTATCAAAATTTAATGCATGTTAGCATTGTCTTAAATCATTTCGACACATCGATTATTTTTTTAAACAAAATTAAAAAAGCGCGAAACTATTCAAGGTTCTTGTTAAGAACTTAATCTTTCTGTTTCTTTTCACATAGCTAATGGTCAGTGTAACATACCTTCACCATTTGCAAGTTCAACATGGCTCGACAGCACACGTGGTACAATCACATTCGACACGACGACAATGAATGGTTGGGGCGTCACAGTTTTTAATCAGCGGCGAAGCTCATGGCAATGTGTTGATAGTTCAGATTCTAGCACACTAGTTCTGAAGTAAGGCAAGATTTATGATAACTAGAGTTCTTAAGCCAATAAAGTGACATATATAGAGGATATTGAATGAGTGAAGTTTAATACTAAATTTATTGAACGAGTTGAATAAAATCATATTATGCGAGCCTCTTGCGAGCATAATATTGTTTTATTCAACGAGTTCAATAAATTTAGTATTGAATCTACACGAATATAATATTCTATTTATCACATATATAAAATAAGAACAGTGAACTGTTAAAATGAGTATTTTTTCAATGATGCGTCCATAGTGTAACGCTAACACTAGCGCGCTTTAATGCTATGTTTCTTTATAGCGCAAATGACGTCACGTCAAAGTGTTATTACACTAGTGTAATATCGTTTTTATAAAATGGCTTTATTACACTCCCGCGTCGCGGTTTATGTGATAATGTTATGTATTAAAGATGCCTTCAATGTTTATATTGTCGTAATGTGTATCCCAAAAACTTTCCGAATGATTGCATCACCTAAACAATGTGTGTCACTAAAACTTTCAAAATGAACGAAGCAAAGCTAAAGCAATTCACCTTGCAAAGATCAAAGCACTACATTTTGGGGCATATATTCTTTAGTACCGCGGACTACTGAAGATATATATATCTTCTACCAAGCCATCAAATTTGAGTTTTTTTGTTTTATTTTAGTACATGAAATTGCAGGAAATGAAATATATTTTATTTAAGTAATGATCTTTAAATTGCTTCATTGAAAACTTGTTTATTCTCGTTTTAGATCTACAAATTCAATAACGTATTCATCTTCGACGATCTACATCTACACGTGTATGAAGCTTACACAAATAACTACAAACTCATACAGTTATAAGTTACAACAAGGTATGTAATTAGGTATACAATAAACTGTTGCACTTATTAACTGGAAAAAAATGAAATGTATGTTATCATTATTTCGATAAACATTTTCATGCTTTTGTATATGTTTTTCCTCCCTGTCTTATTGTATTTAAATTTTTTCTTCACATGAGTTTTCTTTTCTGTCTTGTTCTATAAATTACCATTTTTAATATAACCTTTTTATTCACGCCTTTGCTGCATGCAATGTACTGATATAATTCTGTTGTATTATTTGTATTATAATTTAAACGATTTCTTTTTCTAAAGGTTCATTATGCCCAAGAAATACTAATAAAATCATTTTAATATCACAAAAACTTAAAACGTTTGGTATCTTATTACCGTTTCCAAAATGAAAAATGTACTTTTTGGCCATATAGACGAACTATCTTTTTTTCTTTTGATTTGTTTGCAATTGGTATTATGTATATATGTTTATATTGTTAATTTTCTATAAACATTGTATAATGTTTCATGCAATAATATTGGAAATTGGAAAATTGGTTTGCTATTGGTATAATTATAATGAATTAGCATTTGGCATGGGAATCAAAATACTACATTGTTAAGATTTTTTTACTTTACGACACATTACTGCAGATTCAACCTGTTCAACATATAACATGCCTTAAGTCCATTATTTTAACACTAATAAACACACGTTTGACATTTCTAAAGTATTCAATAAATATTGATTTTTGTGGCATAATGTGCCTTAAGTGTTTGAAATTATTTTTTGTCCAATAGGATTGCAGTATTTGGTAAACCGGCAAACTGTTAATCAGTCTTGTAAATCGACTGTTTATAAAAAATTTTAAGCTGTTTAAAATTCATTAGTACGTATTTTTTAAAAAAAAAAATTGGTCACGCGAATGCGCCGCGCCTGACCAATTTAATTTTGTAAATACGTACCAATAAACTTTAACCTTTACTTAAAAAGAATATTAAATGCATAATAAAATTTTAGTTCAACAACCGAACGCTGGATACGAGCGGCTATGGTTCTCAGCTGATAGTGCAATATGTGATACGTCAGTTAGTATACCGACCATAGAGTTCCACGTTCTTGTGAAACAAGGTATGTTTAAGCTTGCAATATCTTATGACAACGGTATCAATTCTTTAACACTACAGAATACAAATTAATTCGTACAGTTTATTTTCTGCTTCTATTCTTTATTACAGATTTTATATTTCCTTCTTACCAAATGTGCATGGATAGAGTAAGTATATTTAAACCCTGTTTAAACGAAAGTTATTAGTCAATTATCTCAAAGTCTAGAGTTACAGTAGTCGTATATCCTTTCGCTCAGGCCAACTTTATTACCTAACATCTAGAGGATCAATCTAGGAACAATGCAACATCCAAACAAAGCAGGTATTTCTATTTGTGCACAACCAGTAAATACTAAATAACAGCTAAAATTACATTGGAATTATTGATTGTGCAAATAAATGTGTATCTTTACCAATCTTGTTTATATATGTTCTTTTCTGACTATGGTTTGAAATTTAGGCTTTCACACATTACCGGTATTTGCTTGTTTATATTTTTCTTGGATGATTAACTTATATAATTATATAGTCTTTCTATTTTTCTAGTGTTGACCATCTTTTGATATTTATTTGAATATTTGAATAGCAATAACATATACTTCGATGAACTATAGGAATGGCCGACTCTGCTGCAATCACTTTCCCAGACAAATTGTTATTCTCCGCGGACTATAAATACATGACAAGTACGGGGGCAGAGGATTGTGATACCACCTCGGATACTATGGACATGTGCACGGATAAAACGGCGCTGTCATTCAATAACTATACAAACTGCAAACAAGAAATTGCCTACTCTGGTATACAGCCATACATCTATATTATTACTATCAAATTTCTATAAGTATTGTTTAGCATAACATCAAATATTTTAATGTGAAAAAATATTGATGCTAAACGGAACAATGGAAATTTATAATGTCAATGAAAATTAAATGTTATGTCATAACTAAGAAGGTTACATTGTTCTTATACAAACACTATTTCATAACTAAGAAGGTAACATTGTACAGTATGAAGAATAGCCTACAGGACATTTTAAATATTTTAAGAGTATCAAAAACATATAACGAGGAGAAATGGGAAACATTGAGCTTGTTTTAGAACCTGCTTATTACAAAAAAAAAAGATAATCATATAGTCTTATTTTTCTACTTTTTATTATGTAGCTGATTTCCTGTCAAACGTAATTAGTAATTAGTGAAAAGTAGTTTGTTTCAATATCCTTATCTTTGCCCTTTTTTCAAATACCCATTATTAAAGAATTGTCATCGTCGGTCTCTTTATCCTCTATCAATTGTATAAATGAGGTGTGTGAGACTAAGGATTAAGTTATCTGTCCTTTAACTGACAAGAAAAGAAATGGCAGATTACTTGAAAACAGACCCCTTTCCGTGATTGTATTTTTTATGATATCATAATACATATTTTAAGATATTGTTAAAAAACGTTTAGAAAAATCTGTTTTACAGTTTTCATTCTGCTTATACATGATTTAACTATGACATAATGAAAAAAAAATACCTGTTAAACCTTTTCCATTTTCTTCAATTCTCCTTAAAACCTTTTCCATTTTCTTCAACTCTCCTAACTACACTACTCGCGCGGGTAGGCATTAATAATCTGCATCATCAAGAAGCGTTATCTAATGTGCGAAATATTTGAAGTCCTGTAAACGAACTTTTATTTGTATCGGTTTAAGTAAAACTAAATAACAAATACGAATAATAGATTTCATGTCAAATATAAATGTCCTTGAACATAGGCTGTTATTTTTCTTAATAGTTATTTAATGACCATTATTGATTTATTTTATAAATATGTGCCGACAAATAAAATGATAAAAACGTCAACTAAATAGCAACACATTTAAGGGGGGTCAGTATACGTTTCCTTAGGATATAGACCAATGAAATTTTTAATGGAGAAAACATGGACAAATTAATTATTTTATCACTATTTCATGGATTATTTACAATACTATCAGGTAGGTCTGTCAGCATGATGTTTTATTTTGAATAGGAGGTAGATATTATTGTTCTAATTTATTCATGAACTTAAATACCGCTACGTGATCGAATCCCACCATGGACTTTCTATAGTTTTATGTAAGGAAACTATCCAGCTGGCTTACTGAGAGTCAATGGTTCTATACTTAAGGACAATGAAAACGCACGGTCAGGATAATGGCATTTTAACAAGGAAAATATATTTCTTTAAAAATATTTGTTCAAAGTTTCATAAAACCGAATGTATTCCGGTTATTTTGATACCAAAGTTATGAAAATTGATTGCAATTTAATGAAGTTATTGCATAATAAAGACAGTACCCGAAATATCAAAAGTAACACTTTTGGCTAATTGTGATAAGATCACAACGGAAAACAAATTGAACTAGTTCATAGTTACTTAATGAAATGAAATTATTTATTTTTTTAAACTGATAATTATTAACTTGTTTTTCACAATTTTTTAGAAATGTTAGACACAAATGAGCAATTAAAATCTTTATGAAAATGAATATTAAACTATGCCAATGGTCAGTTTTAGAAATCGTAAAAGCTCACATAGACATTGCATATAAACACTTTTCCTCTATAAAAGGTGCTAAATTTCAAACACTACTGAAGACTTGCTAGCAAATTGTACGCAATGGTTCTACAAAGAAATAACCGCTGGGTAGATTTAGCACAGATTCGGTCTTGTCTATCTTACAAACAAAGCGCAAACCGTTTTGGTGTCCATCGGTCTACAATTTCTCGGCTTCACCAGCGTTTTTGCACTACACTACTGGCCGAATGGCGTCATATTCCACAGGCGACTATCCGCACCGTACGGTCTATGAGGCGACGATGTACATCTGTACGAGACGCTGATGGAGGACATTGTTGTTTTTTTAAGATCCCGACGGTGGCATTACGAATAGACATTTATGAGTGACTTTGTTTTGGATTTTCATTTTGGTTTTTGCCTTAGTTAAGTTTGCATTACTGTCATGAAAAAGTGTGATTTTGGGATTTTCACCTTAGGTTCTTCGTTTTACTGGTGTACATTAGATTTTAAACATTTTGAATTATTTTCAGTTGTTAAGTTTGCGTTTTGTATTAAAGTTATGATATATATCTAATGGAGTCGTTAGTGTTTTGTTTTTATGTAATTAAATGCATTTAGTGCGGGCGTGCGTTTTCATTGTCCTTAAGTATACTAGGATGCTCGCTCGTGTCTGAAAAAAGCACGGACGGGCAACTGAAGTCTCCTTTCCCCAGTAAACGGGACAGTCACCATAATATGACCACTACCATGTCGGTGTGACTTAAAAAAAATCCAACACATAACCAAAATTTAAAAGGAAAGCCATAACACCTTAATTGCTGTTGCTTATTTATATACATGTACTAACCAAATTTACAAGTGATTGTAATGTCTTCATGTCGTCGAAATACTCCCTCTACCATTTTTTAATTTTCATAGTGGGTTCTTGTATATCATCTGATTTCAAATTATGGCTTAACTTCGGGTATTTGTGGATCATTCCTCGTACATGTATTTATAAAATACTATATCAATAACTTGAAAATTCAACATTTTTGCTTGCGAAAAGTCAATGGTTCTACTCAAGGAGCTTAAAATAATGCACAAGAACCATGTAAGCTTTTATTTCTCCAGTAAAGGTAGAAAATCACACTCTTAAAACGATCACAAAAATATTAGAGAAAATCCAATACATATTTTGCACATACTTCTCTATGTTAGTTAAACACAACAGAACTATGTTAGTTAAAAGATGAAAAGTTTAAGCTTAACTTGTTATCTAAAAGGAAGATTGAAGTACGCGCTCGTATTTATTTTCTTATGAACTATATGATAATATTTAATCATATTTAAAGTAAAGACAAGTGTCTCAATAAAGCTGTTTAGATTGGTACTCGTATTTGATAATGATATGTTTAATTCTGGATATTTTTAGTGGAAGGATGTATCTTGCCTCTCTCAGCTGGGACATGGGTATCAAGCACACGCGGCACGTGGACGGTGTCAGATGATGGTACCTTTTCTACCATATCTAACTTTAAAGCTGACCTTTCAAGGTCACTTACTACAGTCACGCTCGACTGTAAAAGTAGTTCCGGGACGCAGTATATTCTCGGGTAAGATTCAATCTTCGGTTTGTAGAATTATGTTTTCACTTAAATTTACGATTTATTTTCGACAAATGAGTCTTTGTCATGTATTGGCGGATGAAACGGCAAATGTAGCCAGAAATTGAGCCTCCCCTTTGAAATATCAATAATTTACCACTATTTTTAAATCAAACTTCCATTTTTTTTATATTTCAGAACAAAGTTGGAAATATTTTTCGCTATCTTTATTGATGTGTACAATAGACTCCCCTATAAATATCAATAATTTACCATTATTTTTAAATAAAGCTTCCTTTTTTATATTTCAGAACGAGGTTTGAAATATTTTTCGCTGTCTTTATTGATGTGTACACATGTTTAGATATACGTACAACAGCAGTGTCTCCCAACAGTTATGTGTACTATATTGTCACGCGTAAGTATACTGATTTTTCTTAAAGATACTTTAAAGGCCCATTATGCATCAGAAATGTTTTTATTTTCGCTTTTCATTTTCAGTATTCTTTTAAAGTTCTAAAACGTTACTCATAGGCCTGTTACCTGAATCATCTTTTGCCTTTGTTGCTCTTTTTTTTCATTTTGTAAAACTATAGTGATTTAGTATTCTGTATGGAATCAAAATATAGCTGTACTTCCCCGAAAACAATCATCTTCCATTATCTAATCGTTACGAAACCCATGTTTGGTCTATATAAAGAATGAAAATTTTATTCGTGTCAGAAGCATAATGTGTCTTATAAAGGTCCTGCTTATTGGTGTTTTATTATGACCGTATCTGGCACAGTTATATATCAAGTCCAACACCATATAAGGGATACCATTAAGTATTTGTCGGATCTATATTACTGTCACGTATTTTTTGTGTGTGTTTTTTTTAGTCGGGGTATTTATTTATTTGGGTTTATGTCGTACCAACACAGTCGAGGTCTTATGAAGGCTTGCTAGAACAACTATATTCGAGGAAAACCTCATGTGCTCCTCCGTGCTTATTTTAGACTCAATGGGCACCTATGTAGAACCACCGACGTTCCGTTAGCTAGCCGGATAGCTTCCTCACATAAAGTAATCCGAATTCCCTTGTGGGGTTCGAACTTTCAGAGTTGTGAGACATGTGGTCTTAAGTTAATGAACTTGACCATTCGGCCACCTACTTTTTACAATAATGTATCACCGTGGGAAATAGAAAATTATGTCCGTGAAGAAAAAATATTTTAGTTACAACAAAACTTTGATGCTTTTGGCGATACAAGAATTTATTTGAAATAATATTTCAATGTTTTATCATTTATATATATAAATTTTCCACAGCAACGGAATCGAACACAGGCGAGCGATTCACAAGCGATATAAGTAGCGCATGTACAAACTCGAACTTTGAGACTGCCATTAATACACATATAGTTCTTCAAAGTGGTATAGTATAATCTTTATTTACTTTGTATAACTTGATAGAGTGCTTCCTTTCCCTCTGTGTGTATAATAAGGTACTTCTATAACCTCAGTTTAGTTTAATCAAAATTATTTTAGCTCGATTGCGAAACATGTTCTTGCAACTTATATTAATCACTTTCGAGTCCATGCAAGTTGGTATCTCCAAACCTACAGAAGAGAATAGGTTGGAACTGTAAACACTTGTTCTCCCTTTGTTATCCGTAATGAAGGGTACAGGTCCTTTTACTCTGAATTACCTTTTTATAGATTTGTGCCCCTTGTTTTTCTTGTCAATCACTGAAAATAGTCGAGCGCGCTTCCTCACGGCAGCTCTTGTTATTGACATTATTTAATATGTTTATTTTATAAAGTCTGAGTGGTAAAATAGTCACGCTTTAATTGAAATTGTCATTTCTATAAATAGTATAATTTATTATGAGCGTTGTGATAACTTATTATATGTAACTCTTTGACTTTAGGTTCCGAGACAGCCGCCGGCGTTAACTATCCCGATGCTATTCTCGGGAACTATACCGTCGAATATTCCGACATAGATGGCAACACAGTCACAGGTTCGGACATGGACTCCTGCGACAATAAGACTCTTATGGTTTTCAATAATGCAGACTCAAATACAAACCTTGCTTTTACTAGTGAGTTTTCTGTCCGTGTATATGAACACATATTTATACAGATCAGATACAGTTAACAACACATATCCTATAAGTTATTTGAAAAAGAAATTTCATTATATTTACTGTAAAATATGCTGGTTTTTCAAATTATTTAAAATGTTACAAATATTTAGACATACAACATGTAATTATTCGTAAAGTACATGTAATAAAACAATCAGAACAGAACATTCTAATATTTATTTTGTTTTTGACTTATACATATGCCCGTGAAAGATTTGATATACTGCTAAATAGACCTTGAATTTGCATCGAATCTGTCCGTATCACTTTCATTTTAACATATATTTGTAAGTATATTTTTCCCTGCGGTCTGGAGACCGCAGGGTATTGGTACGCGTTTAACTTTTGAGGCATGGAGGAGCACGTGACCTGTTTTCGGTACATGGAGGAGCATGTGATCTGTAAACCGTACATGATTGGTTGATTGACCTTTTCGAAAACCTAGCTAAATACCATTTGCCGGTACGTTACGGATTCACCTCTAGGGAATTAGTTCGAATAACACCTAATTAAGAACGAAAAACTATTACGTGATATTTCTAATTTTCTATAATTATTTTACCGTTTAAGGTGGAAAAACTTGAATGATGTGTTTGAAAATTATCAATGTTTCTTAAAAATCTATCTCAAATTTTACAAACCATAAATTGTTTATACTGAAAATCTACAAAATAAAAATATTCGTAGTGGCATCTGCCATAATAAATAGAGATATTTTCTGCGTAAACTTGTGTGTTTGCTTTAGTCTTTGTTTGCTCGGAATTATTTATAAAATGGTAGGCATATTTAATCATTTTTTCTTAAAAAGAAATAATTGTTTTATGCTCGACCTTCTCCGGTCTTCAACGGTTACCAGTTTCCAAAGGCCTTCTTATAAATTGATCGATTATTGGATACAATCGTTTATCTACCCCCCCCCCCCCTCCCAAAGGAAACCATTTTACTTGTTATATATATGAGCATTACGTATAAGAATTATCTTTTCAGGTGGTAATAATCTGCTAGCCTTACATTACGTCACATCCGGCTCGAGTGTTTACGTGCACACATATAATACCGACGCTACTGTTTCAAATCCAACGACATATAGTATAGCATGCTGGGTAAGTCGACATTTTTCTGAAGTTTAATTTATTCTCAATAAAATAACAGTAAACAGAAAAAAAAATCTGGAAACAAGGTAATCCCTCGGAAGCATTAATCACAACAAAATTACATGAAAATTGCAGACTCGGTTTGATTTAGTCTGTACATGAGGGATGATGAATAAGTGCAACATCCTTCAAAACAAGACATAATTCGGCAATCACGTGATCAGCCTCCGCCATATCTCATTTACTTTCCTGTTCCGACCTTCCGTTTAGACCCGGAAATGACGTAGCAACAAATACGCATCATCCGTAACCTGACGAAATTTCCCGATTGCTAATTACAGCACAGGTTATTATGTATAACTGACGTATTCTAATACATTCTATTCAAACATGAGTCAAATGCAACATGATAATATCCATAAATATAACTAAATATTTCTTTTAGCCACACATTTTCAATAAGAATGAAATACAATTACTAATATAATGATAATTTGCTAAAAACTTTGGTCATTCATTTTGAAATTTATTGACAAAGGAGTTTATACAAAAAAAAACATATTCAAAGTATATTATAATATAGATTTGTGAGTTATTTACAGGTAATCGTGAGTTCGAGCAGCCAGGTGAAGGCTACTGTGTACCCTAATGAATGCGTTCAAGGTCAAAGTTCAACATCAGTCCCTTACGGTGGACAGAAGTTTGTGTTAACTCCACAATGTGAGTACATGTACTAGTACCCAAATGGCATACTAGAAATGGACATAGAATTTTAGAATAAAGCAGTAAACAATTTCAACATGCCTTTGAATCTTCAGTAAATTTCAACCGGAAATGTTGAACACAACAGTGTCCCTGTGAATGTCATCTGTAATTATTGCATGGTTTGGAACTTTTCCTTTGTTATTACTAACCCATTATACTCAGGACACTTCAATGAGCATTTGAAAAACTGTATTGATATATAGCAGTACAGTTTTTTCATTGTTTCATACAGGAAAAAAACTCGACTGCTATATAGCAGTTGAGTTTTTTTCGCACCTTGTATATATCAATGTAGCTTTTTTACAGAGGCACTAATGGGACAGTGGTAACGAACATTCCCAGTAGCAAAAAAAATGGAATCAGTAAAATAAAATAAAATAAATACAATGAAAAATATAAACAAAGATAATTAATTAAATGAAATTAACTCTCATTTAATCAAAAGGTACATCGGCTGAATAAATCATTTCCATTGAAAAAAAGCCCTTAAATCTTGAATCAATATTGGACATCTTTTTTTTTGCGGCAGCGAAAACAGCTTGAAAAAAAAACTGCCTTATCATAAATAACTGTAATGTAGCTTACGATTTATTTATTTATTTATTTCTATTATAAAAAAGAAAACATTATGCCATTGCGATAAAACAGTTATAGTATATGAAACTCGTTAGTTACCAGGATATAACACTGGCTGGTCGACATCTTGGGATGTTTCTGCAAAAAAATGTCTCGGCCTAACGGCCTTGCCATTTTTTAGCAGAAAAATCCCTTGATGTCGCCCAAGCCAGTGTTATATTCTCGTAACTAACTCGTTTCATGTACTATAACTATTACAAAGTGCAATAGCTAAATCCTCTTTAAAAATATAATTGACGCACGGTCTTAATGACACGCCAATAAAAGGTGTACTACAGCGATTTAAATGACGTCACTCTTCTTGCGTAAACACATGTTATCATGGAAATGCCTTTTATCGTGAGTTATTGAAGTTTTTAAAGTTAACCTACGTCGGAATTTGAGGAAACTTTATAAGATGGAGGAGGAGTTTGAAGTTAGTATCTATAAAGTACATTTTTATAGAATTAATTTAAGGTAAACTTAGACAAATGAATGACAAAAATAGTAAATTGATGTTATTTACTCAAATCATGCTATTTAAAATGTCATTCTCTAAAGTCTTAGCATGGATTTCTGTATAAATACTATATAGATTATTTTGTATTAGTCATTCATAAATGAATCATTTGACAGATACTTTAACGTTTTCATATTTCTCTATAACAACTATTTTGATGTCTAAATGCTATAACCTGACACCCACGTGGGTCAAGTTGGGAAACCACCATTTTATTCTTTATAAAGAGAAAAGTTTTTTCCTCTGACTGCTTAGTGTTTTCATTTTGAGGACATTTATAGAATATTGAAAGAAAAATTCAAATCGTAGAAATGAAAATTTTGTCTGTGTCTCCCTATACTAAAGAATTGAAAAGCATTAACTAGTGACATATATTATGTTACCTATTTAGGTGATATCATGATTTTTTTAACGTTATTATAAAGGTCGTTGCTTTAATAAGGTTCAAATGCGCTGTGTTTAACTCTATCTTCAAGGATCTGTCAGGTTAAGTTCATTTGACTATATATTTAAAAAGATTGACTATTATAATGACCATTGAACAATAGTTGATTATGAAAATTGCCTAGGATAAAATATGATAAATTGCCTGAAATATAAAAGGCGCACACTCTTTTTATCAACGGAGCATTATCGGCATATTCCGAAGGATATCTATAGAAATTATTGTGATTCATGTGGGTTATTGATTATTCACATGGACTATTATCTATAATTTAAAATTGAAACGTATTATTGAAAAATTTCAAGTTGTTTTGACTTTGACCTTTTCACCTCCATTTACATTTTGATTTATATTAACCTATGGATATCTTTTTTGTTATTTCATAGGTAATTATTATTCGGCGTAGTTTTTCCACAAGTGACACTAAAGAAAAGTTAGTCCCTTCAGTCAGAATGTCAGTTTGCCTCTCTCTTTTTTTTCTCACCAGATGGGCCCAAATATACTTTTTAACCCTGCGTGAAATCCCGACTGGATGACATCCTACAACAACTCAACTTCCTGAATGACAAAGGTCAAACGATAGGTCCAGATGGTAAAGGGACAAACGGACCTGACGTTGTGTTGCCAATGGTAGACTGGACATTGCAGAATCAAGTTAATCAGACTCCTGCCTTGTCGATACAATCGGCAAGTTTTATAGCAAACTATTTACAATTATATAATGGTCAAACGGTTTGTAATAGTACCTATTATGGCTAAACTATCATTTTACACAATCGGAAATGCATTAGTTCTATGAGTATACTACTTAAATACCAGTACCAGTACTTGTCAACTTATGCGGTATCAGTACAAATACAAGTATTGTACCAGTACTTTTATTTTATAAGTAATTAAGTACCAGACTGACAGTACTTTTACATTTCACCATATTTTGCATACAGACTGTTTAATATAAATTGCAACAACATAGTTTTCTTAATATAAAAGTATAAAAATAAATACGATAATATATTTGATAAAAATTTACTCTTTCAATCTTTTTATGAAAACCAAAGTTGTCCTTTATAAATGCAATACCAGTATATATATATATATATATATATCACATGGGTTTGTGAGTAACAGAAAAATATCATCCCGTGGAAAATACTGTTACCCGAGGCGTTACCGATGTATTATTTATTTATTACCCCGAACAAATACTGTGATGATCTGAAATTGTCAACTAAATCTAACTTTAACAAAAATAAACCAAGAGTATTGTAACAATTACTAAACTGTCCTTACCTTATAAGTTTTAAGTGTAGGCCTACTTGAGAAGTTTTCTTTCTTTTATTCTTTTAGCAAGTGATGATATGTACCAGTAATAAACAAACAATAAGCTGTGTTTTATTTAGAAAACAAAACACTAACCCATTTATACGGTTATGATCTATGAAATCTGAATCTTTTGTATCCAGAATCCTCTCTTCGCATGGTTTTTGACAAAGTGCATTTACAAAATAACGATGATATCCTATGTTTGTCCACCATCACATCTATAACATTTCACTTGTTAAAATTGTTAAATGATCCTTTGTTTAATGCTTTAATTGTCTGCATGTTCCAGTTTGACACATAATTATTCACATTGCAATTACTTCCGTTGAAAACGGATGTTTACTCAAAAATATATTTTATACGCGAAAAGCACTGTAGGGTGCAAAGAACTAAATTTTATGGGTGTCATAGTTACTCTAGTTAACTTCGAAAATAAGAATGAATCGAGAGAAAAATGGCGGCCATTTTATTTCATTTTACTTAGAAAATAGACCACGTGACCAGATTTTATACTGTTAAAAAGTACTGTTACCTATGTAACAGTACAAAATTCTTAGTCACTTGGTACACTTGCATTAACAGTGAGAATAACTCCCAGAGGCCTATGGGAAATTAACATTACGAAAAAGTGTGGGGTAATAATACTACATTTTGAGACAAAAATTCAGTACCAGTACAAATAGCAGAAACTATTTTATGCGAGTAATTCAGTGACAGTACATTTGTACCAATACAGTACTTGCAAAATAAATGTGCAGTACCAGTAGAACATATCTGTATGCAATTAAAAATGTAAGTCACGTAACTTGTTCTTATTATTTTCTTCAAAATTAAAAGATTACTTTGAATATGCACCTTTAATTATAGCATAGTGAATAAATAACATCGAAATAATTGTACTATATCTTATATTTTAGGTAAAAATAAGAACCATTACGATTTTTTGTGTGGCACTTCATGAAAGGATAGAATGAAAAGATCGGGTATCATATGAAAGTACCAGGTACTTATTCAAGAAACCTTCATTACTTATTTTCTTACTTACTTCCAGGTACTCGGCAATCTTAACTGTTTTTAACTGTCTTATCTGATTTTCCCAATGACAAAATATGTATCATAAACACTGTAGTTTTGTTAAAAAGCACATATATTTGTTTCGTTTTTAATCTTAGCAGGTAAGGCTTTTTCATTTAAAAACTTTTCTTTTTAGGACATGCGCGGTGTTAAGTTGATTTGGAATTTGCACATCTAAAGATTATATTCCGTAGACATGATTTAGAAAAACTACAACAGCTAGCCGGTGTTACAGAGAAATCGTCTACAACAATCTTATAATACAAGTAGTAATGTTAACAGACAGACATTTCTGTGCTTTAAGCATATTAAAATTATACTTGTCAAATGTGGAAACCCCAATGTATGGATCTATCGGATGTTTCCTAATCATAAGCGGTTAGTTGTAATGTGAAGCAAAAATTGTCAGATTAATTTCTAAATGACTGGTATTGTACAGAATCGAGTAAATGTAAAAATTATAAATTATTTAAAGAAAAAACCCATTTTTAACCCTATTTAACAAATACACCTAAAAACTTACTAAGATATGCAACAACAAACAGCAGCCTTCCTGTAGAAACCGGAAGTTGGAATGGTATAGATTTAAATTTACGTAAATGTACACTTTGTAACAGCTCCGGAGGAATTGGAGATGAATTCCATTATCTCTTTGAATGCAATGAATTATTTGAACTAAAAAAAGAATGTTAGATCGTAATTATGTACTACATCTAAATTTTATTAACTTTTTAATCTATTATGAATATGCATATAACTCATTGTAATGAATAAAGGAATTTTTGTTTATTTGTTAAGGAAATAGTAAAAAAAATTGATAATAGATTTATACATATTTTTTCATCATGTACTTGAAAATGCGTGTCCTTCTCCATTTTGTTAAGATGAATTGCATTAATATTATTATTTTTATGTGTATGCTATGCCTCTTTATGTAATGTATGCTTATATGCTATAGCTCGTATTGTCATGTGTATACATGAATTGAGTTCTGAAATAACATTTGAAACTATGAAACTTACTTTTTACAGTTAGATCAAACTAATTGAGTTGATTT